TCATCTCTGCTCCTCTGCTGGGATACACGGGCAGGTGGTGGTGGTGGAATCCCGGCATGGCCTTGTCCAGCCTCTGGGAGCCCCCAGCACCCCATGCGGCTCAAGCATGATCCAGGGATGGGGCTTCTCTACAGTGCCACCATTCCAGCTCCTGGCCCTCCCTGCCTCTAATTTGACTCCTCTTTGTCTCCTCCCTCTTCCCAGTGACTGGGGCTTCTCAGAGAGCCCTCTCTCTTCCTCCCGTCCAAGTAACCCTGGAAGTCAATCTTTCTCTCCTCATTCCATCATTGTCCTTGACACTCTCTGAAAATAGCATGTTTAAATTCACTTCCGGCCGAACACCTGCCCCTGCTCCACCCCACCCCACTAGAAGTTAGCCTCATGGAGGCAGGACCTCGTCTAGCTGCCCCTTGCTCCCCCAGGACCGACTGCCCAGCCTACATAGTGGATATTCCCTGAGTTAGTGAACGAACGAATGAAGGCTGGACCAGGAAAAAGGACTCTCCGGTTCTGGTGCTGCCTCTCTGTGTGATTCTGAGCCAGCTGCTTACCTTCTCTGTGCCTCAGTTTCTTCTGTCACCAGAAAGGTTTCCACTCTGCCGTGTCATGATCCTATGTGTCTGAAAGGACTGTGGCCCCATGGAAGGCAAGGGCGACATCTGTACGTTACGGTCTCCTCCGTGGCAGCCCCCACGGCCTTATACGTGGTGAGGCCGCCAAGTTTCTGCTGAAGCAAAGAAAGAGAGCGAAAGTGCTTTGAAAACTGAAGGACATTCAATCCATGAGGGGGTTATTGACGTTCAGAAGTTTCCTGCGGGCTGATTGTCTGAGTTTCTTGAGGCTGTTAAACTACCTTCAAACCTTTCTAGAACAAATGGAGTAAAAATAAATACTTATTCTTTGTAAGTCCCAGAAAAACTCCAAGGAAAAAGTGGCTCTTCCAGGTCTGTGCTGTTCTACTTTTCTTCTTGAGGTTCAGATTGAGCTGGCCTTGCCTGCCTCAGCCTCCCTCTGTGCCCACAAATCTTCCAGGCCTGAAGCAAGGAGCCCAAGCCCAAGGCATTCCCAGGGTGGGCAGCTGGGAGTAACACTAGCCGTGTTGGTAACGACTACTGGCCTTTCTGAGGCTTGTTCTAGGCTCGCGCTTTACATGTATTCTTGTCCCACTTAATCCTCACGGTGGCCTTGTGAGGAAGGCGCTATCATGTTATCACGTCATTTATTTTCCACTCATGAAGAGCACATGTGCATGCATGAGAGAGTGAGAAAGCGTGAGAAGAGCACCCTCCACAGGACCGGGCCATGCTGTGATCCCCTTCCTCCAGTCTGCCAGCCCACCAGGCTCTGGAGCACGTGCATTCATACCCGGTGTGTTTTCAGGCCTACCCGGACAGGGACTCAAACCTGGTCAGCATGTGGCTTCCAGCTCTGCAGACCAGTACACCCCTGACTGTACTGCAAAGGCTGGGCCACCATCATTTCTTTTAATTGGTGAAGCAACTGAGCTTCCCGAGCAGTGATGTCCCATATTCTGGGTAGGAGAGAGGTGGGAGAAGAACCAGATCTTGGTGCCTTGACAAGAAGGACCAGTAGCTACCAACCCCCTAAATCCTAGGTGAAGGGCCCTGTGCAAAGCAGGGATCTGACAGTAGGATGATAGCGAGAAATGCTACTCAGGTCTGAGTGGAGGCTGCCCTCGGAAATGTACAGAGGGGTGGCTCCCTTTGAGTTATTTCAGCTACCTCCAAATACACTCCCAAATCAGATACACACGTACACACTTATGTGTCTGTCTAGCCTGACTTGGGGCCCAGAACCCATGACCTTTGCTTCATGGAAACAGGATGAAGCCTGAGCCCCTACCCTGAACCCCAGTCTTGGGCTTCTAGAAGCCACAGCTGGGCCCAGAGGTGGACTCAGCATGCAGCCTTCTCTAACCACTACAAAACCTCCAAGAAGGATGGGACTTGGCCTTCCCAGTCCAGCTGAACTTGCACCCGAGCAATGGGAGAGTAGCCATGACTGCGGGTAGTGACCAGGGAGAGAAAAATTACTCATTGCTCCAACTCAAAACATCATCGTCCAGATAACTGCCTTTTTGCCTGGAAAGCCCTTGTCGCTCCTCTCCTTCACTCCTCCACTCCAAGGGACCTCAGAGGACATTAGGCATCACAGACATCCTCAGAAAATTCTGACTCTCCCAACAAACTTTTCAGAACATCCTAGAAGAAAGATGACCACGCCACCCTAGGATAAAAGGAAACTCAGGTCTTATCCCACCACCCCAATTACAATCACATTTCCCCCACACACACACCCTGTGATTCTCTGCATGGGATATTCATTGTGGCGTCTTCTCCACTAGAGGGTGCCTCAAAAGTTATTTATTTGGAATTTAAATTCTCGGGAAGCACTGGAAGGGGAGGCCAGGAAGAATCTTCCACCTCCTCACCCTACAGAGGCCAGGACAAATGCTTCTTTTTTATTTTTACACTTTTTGCTAACTTTGTCATTCTATTTACCCTTGAAGAAAGCTAGTATTCCCTTTCCTGTTCAAGTTAAATCTCCTCTGTGGGAGATCAGACTTGGAACTTGACTTTAGGCCAGTGGTTTCCAAACTTTTCTGCACATGGAAATCACCTGGGAAGATTAGAAAAAAAAAAAAAATCACAATTCTGGGACCAGCAGGTGGAATAGTGGGTGAGGCACTAGATTCCCATATGGCCAACCACAATTTGGGTCCCAGACCTGGTAGCTTGAAACTCACACTCACACTGGGTGCATGTGTGTGTGTGCCCCAAATCACAAGAGTAGAATGAAGGAGAATAGATTATGGTGTGACCATCCCCACCCCCCCAGAGGGGTGATTTCTCACTTTCCCTCTCTCTGTTTCTCTGTCTCTCTGGAGAGCATACGAATCATATGGCAAAAACCTAAAACAAACAAACAAACAACAACAAAAATGATGCTTAGTTCATACCCAAAGCCCTCACATCGACTGTCCAGAGGTGGGAGTCAGACGTCCACTGTAAATGTCCCCAGGAGATCCCAATATGCAGCCAAGCCTGGGAGGCTTGATTTTCCACCCACAAATGCCTGCTTCCATTGCAGCTCAGCCCAGAGACCTTGGCCAGGGCCTCAGCTCAGCCCTGGCCTCTAGGCCATCGGGGCTCAAGAGTAAGAACGCAATGGACCTCCTACCCCTCTGATCTTTGTGCAAGTCAGGCGTCAGCCTTGGGACCCAGTTCCATTCCCATCTTACACGCAGGGTCCATTGGGTCATCAGAAAAGTCATGATGCATTTTTGCATAGAAAAACATAGGAAAAAAGCCATGACTTTTCTGACAACCCAATAGTAATTGAGCTCAAACAATAACATCTGGGGTCACTCCCGCTGGGCTCTGTGACAGGCTTTACCTGTAAAATCCCATGGAATTATAACAGCCTGTTTTGCGGGTGAGATGGGTGAATAACTTCCCCAAAGTCACACTGTTGGGGAGTACAGCAGACGCAGGGTTCAAAGCTGCACCTGAGACCTCCGGGCCCCTCTCTTCATGGCATGTAAGGCGCTGCCGTCCCTCTCCTTGGTCCCCGTGGTGGTCTCCCGAGTGTCCCCATCCCACAGGACGGATGCCCTGCTGTGCTCCTGTCACTGTGTCCTGTGTTCATTCCCTAGGACTGCCGTAGCAAAGTCCCACAAACTGGGGGACTTAACATGATAGGAGTTGATTCGCTCATGGCTCTGGAGGCTATAAGTTCAAAATCAAGGTGTCGTCAGGGTTGGTTCCTGCTAGAGGCTCTGAGGGGAATCTTCCCGGCTCTCTCCTGGCTTCCGGTGGTCGGTGGCCTCACACAGTCCCGTGGCAGGTAGACACGTCACTCCAGTGTCTGCCTCTGTCTCCACACGGCCTTCTTCCCATCTGTGTCTTCACGTGGCCTTGCTTGACACTTTTTCTATTCGTGACAGAGAATACACACGAGAGAGAGAGATGAACAAGTTCCACTGAGTCTGGCCATACTCTGACCTCCCTCCTCCAGTCCTCCGGCCCCTCAGATTCTGGGCACTTGTGTGGGTGCCCAGCGTGTTTCGGGCTGACTGGGCTAGGGATTGACCTGCAGTCCACACAGCCTTCTTACAAAGGCACCAGCCCAGCCTCTGCAGCACAGCTGGTGGCAAACCGAGCTACAGTGCTAGAGGCCACAGGGCCGACTACAGGTTGGGATCCCTGGCTCAGTCGACCTGAAATGCACCAGGTAGTACCTGCATGCCCAGGATCCTGGGGGGCTAGAAGGCTGGAGGAAGGGCTTTGTGGCATGAACAAGGGTGCTTTTTGCTCTCATGTACACACGTGCTCTCTAGCATGACACAATGGAAGGAAGGGAGGGAGGAAGGGAGGAAGGGAGGAAGGAGCGAGCCATCTGTCAGTCCTTGGATTCGGAGCCCATGCAAATCCAGGTTGACCTTACCTTACCTAATTACACCTTCGAAGACCTGTTTTTCAAGTAAGGCCATGTTCTGAGGCTCCAAATGCACTTGGATTCGGGGGGACACTCTTCAGCTCAGTGTACTATCAGAACCCCAGGCCCTCACATTCTGCCTCTGACTGGGCCTGCAGCCTGCTGACAAATGTCGATGCTGATGGCTTGTCTCCTCTCCAACCGCTGGCACCTCGCACTTGCTCAGATGACTGGGGACAGATACTGCGACTCCCAGCTTCTGCTGCCTGGCCCAGATGCTAGTTCCTCCCCGCACTCTCACTGTCAAAGTGCTCATTGCATATCCCAAGGACACACTTATTCACCTTGGGTCGCTGTGGTCAGACGCTCTGAGGGCAGGGTCCCCGCCCCTAACGCTGCAGGCCTAGACATATACTCATGGACCAGAGAAGTTCTGCATAAGCCTCTGGCTTCTCACTGTCACCTGACCTCATTCCACTCCCATTAGTTTTACCACTTAGCTCTGAATTCATCTCTCTCTCTCTCTTTTTCTATCTTTACAGGAAATGGGTATATTGAAGGCAAAGAGCTAGAAAACTTTTTCCAAGAGCTGGAGAAGGCAAGAAAAGGCTCTGGCATGGTAAGCCCAGCTCCATCCCCCTGTGTCTCTGAGCATGTTTGTCCCTAGTTATGTGTTCCATCAGTAAGCCTAATCTCACTGGTACTGACACTTAGAATTTCTCTTTGATTTGTAAGGATTAAAAAACAAACAAAAAAAGAATACACCCTAAGAGTACCTGAATGTCCTTGGGGCCCTGGGATTAAGGGGTGTTCATGAATGGGTATCAGGATGGATGAATTCTCCCCAAAACTGCAAAGCTTCATGTCTGTGTCTGCATGTGTAAAGCTAATTCCTTCCTAGAAACAGAGCCCACAGCCTGTTTTAGATGCTTCAGTGGGTTCGAGACTCCAGACTGGATGCCTGCGAGGCAGTTTCTCAGCCTTAGCACTTTAGCACGATTGACATTTGGGACAGAATAATTCTTGATTTGGGGGATGGAGAGGGCATTGTAAAATCTTCAGCAGCGTCCCTCTGTCCACTCATGAAGTACCAGCACTCTCCTTCAAGTTGTGACCATTGAAAATATCTCCAGACATTGCCAAATGCCTGCTGGGTGGGGGATGAGGGTAGTTTCATCTTCAGTAGAGAATCGCTGTTCTAGCTAGACCATCAAAGGTTGGAATCCTCAGCAAGAGCCTAGAGAAAACAATGAGGATTACTCTGAACCAGTATCTGAGCCATTCACTGGTGGTATCATGACCCTCTGAACCTGCCTGAAGTGACTCCAGGTCACGTCCCTTTCATGACAGGAATGTTGTTTCCCCTGGTGCCAACTTGGAGCTATGGGATTTGCTAAAGCCTTTTGGGGGAGGTATTAGAAATATCACAAAGCTGAGGTGATTGGAATTAGTCTGTTGTGCTGGAATCTATGGGGTCAGGCCCATCCTCCCCCACCAGCTTCCTCCGGTCCTTTGGAGGGCTCTCTGCCTGCCCACTCTGTCTGCTGGCCAATCCACTGCTTACTAGCCACTCTTCAGGAAGCTGTTGGGGAGGTGAGTCACAAATCCACTGGTGAGCTTCTGGTTCAAAGCTCAGCAGAGCTCCCTGATGGGAAGAGGTCAAAGCAATGGGCTAAAAGGGACAGAGGTGATTCATGAATTGTTTATCAACAGTTTATGCATCAAACCTCATTAATAATGAAGCCTGGGTCACAGAAAGTCCAGGCTTCAAAACTGATTCCGGGATCATGGCTTAGGCAGAGGAACGTGTGTTTATCAAATACTTCTAATCTAAAGTCCTTCTCTTAGTGATTCCCTTCCTCAGATGGCATCAGAGTGATTTTCAAGTCTGTCAGCGATAATGCCAAATGATGTCATCCGGGATGGGTTCTCAGAGCAGCTGTTGTATGGTAGGATGAATCTTGGTCTTTGGAGCAGAAACCATGAGTTCGAATTCTAGCTATCCTAGCTGGGTGACCTTGAGAGAGATCACTTCCTCTTGGCCTCTATTTCTACTAATCCCATGGCATCATGGTAAAATGCAAGTAGAATGACCACATTTCTGAAAAATACCTGGGAGCATACCATGTACATTTGTAAATACAAATAAATAAATAATAAGCAAATAAATATAAATTTAGATCAGATCAGTTCCAAAGGCAAAAAGTGATAGAAGGGAACCAGCAGATGGCATAATGGTTATGTTGCTGGAGTTCCACGTAGTCAACTGCAGTTCGAGTCCTGAACCTGGCAGCTTAACACTCATGGAGGGCATGTGTGCATGTGTGCACAAAATCCCGAAAGGAAAATGGAGGAGAAGGGATTATGGTGTGGCCATCCCCCCTGAGGGGGATGATTTCTCGCTTTCTGTCTGTCTCTGTCACTCCGGCAAGTGCATGTGCTCTATAGCAAAAATCTCTCTCTTTTTAAAAAAGATTTATTAATTTAATTCCATTTGTTATTATTATTTTTAATTTGACTAGAGAGAGAAAGGGAAAGTGAGAAAGCAAGCTGTCATGTCCGGGACTCAAACTGTGATCAGCCATGTGGGACTCCTGAGCCTTTAACCACCATGCCACCTGCCGGCCCCGCAAAAACCTCTCTTAAGAAAAAAAAAAAGTGATAGAAGGTATTCATAAAAAACTCTCAGAATTGGTAGAATTTTCCTTGGCTCAATCCTAGGAAAAATACAACCCTCTGGGAAGCAGAGGTATCAGTCGCCCAAGGCAAATTTGTTGTTGATTATTAACAAGAAAGAGTTCCTTAATGCGGACAATTAATCAGCTGTATCTAAACCAGGAGAAGGTTTGAGACCTTCGAGAGAATCTCATATTTATATAGGCAGCAATGGCTATTAGAATTTCTCAAGTGTTTTTGTCTTTTTGGTAATCAGAATCCTGGAGTGAATACTTGAATTACCCCTCAGCTCTTTGATGACTTTCTCCTCGGTTTGCTCCCAGCACTAAGTCAGAGTGAAAAATATTATGGAATTGCTAGTTAGTCTTTCAATCCACCATAGCAAGGTGGATCGCTTAGAACCTATTGGCAGGCAGTGGATTAAGTTGGGTACTGGATTAACTGCCTCATAAGATGTTGGGGCCTCAGTTCTCAGGTCTGAGTGATGGGAGTAAGTCCAAACCCTTCTGATAGATGTATGGCTTAATACCTTTCAAGGGAATAAATGCATATTTAATTATATAAAGCATCCCCATCTGTCCTGTTTCTCTTTGAAAATTATGTGACTGAGTCTGGAGATGACTTGATTTGGGGGGATCTTGACGAGGAAAAGGACTCAGCCCTGATCACTCAGAGCATTGGCTCAGCCTGCTTCATCCCCACGTAGCTGGGCCACAAAATAATTCCCAATACTGAGATCCTCAATTTGCATGAGATACAGGAACAAAATCAGCCCCCTCTGTCTTTCCACAGATGTCAAAGAGTGACAATTTCGGGGAGAAGATGAAGGAGTTCATGCAGAAATACGATAAGAACGCGGATGGGAAAATCGAGATGGCAGAGGTGAGTCCTGGGGTCCTAGCTGAGGGCCAGCAGTTGCCGTGCCTCTCCAGTGCCCTAGCATCCTTCTAGAGCTGGAAATGAGGTGTGGCCTTACAGCTTCCCCACCTCCAGCACTGGGCCTGACCAAAGAGAACAGGTGGGACTTCTTCTGTGTGTCACCCAAGAAAGAAGCAACAAAAAGTGGCCTAAGTGAGCTGGAGACCTTGTAAATGTGTGATGAACCCAGCATAAGATGGTGGGGAGGGTGAACCCTGGGTGAACAGGAGAGTTTATGTCCCATCTTAAAGCTTCCAAAGTCAAGAGTTTTTCCTCTGTGTATGTAAATTTACATATCGTTTACATAGGTAACTTACATGTGAAAACATATCATTTAGATATGTGTAAATGCACATGCAACACCCATATATACAGACATATATACTTACATGTGCACCTACCTGTACACTCACATGTACATGTGTGTGTGAAACACTTCTGGCAATCAGTTTGCAACCCATGGCCAAGGGATCAAGCATGGTGATTCTTGAGCTTGTGCATTAGGGCACAGAGCCGGTAAACTGGCCTTAGGCCGGGTGCCTAGAAGCAAAGCCTGAGACAGAGATTCACATGGATATGATTTGCTGAGAGAGCTCTCAAGGGAAGAGGGCAACAAGAGAAGGCCGACGAGGGAGCTGGGGAGGACACAGTCTCAGCTGGAGCTTTGACTCGGCCTGATCTCTAGAGAATGCATTTTGCCACCGAGTTAGTCCCACTTTGAGGGAAGAGGGTGAGGTGGCCTTTTGTAACCCCCTCCCCATGTCATTGGATGTAGGCTGCCCCTATCCAAGGAAGCAAGGGACCCGTGGAGCTGCTGCCATGTGGCTGAGGGCAGTTCTGCAGGGACAGCTATGGGCTGTTAGCAGTCCACCTCCCCACAGCTGAGAGGCGGCGCACTAGCCTAGCTAAGGAGGCTCTGGGAGAGGCACCGAGAGTAGCCACGATAGATGCTCTTTCATGCTGCAAATCTCAAAAAGTTCTGACTCAAGTGAGCGCAAACCAGAGAACGTTTTCTGTAAGGAATACAGATTACAGTAAATGTATTATGGTTTATGGGCCATATGGTCTCTGTCACAGCTACTCAACACAAAAGCAGTCACAGAAAATATGTAAATAAGTGGGTGTGACCATGTTCCAATAAGAGTTAGCAAGCCTTGGGCCATAACTCACCTACTCCTCGCTTAAACCGCGAGCTGCTCCTAAGAAGAAAAGCCAAGGATAGGGTTGGCTCCAGTGAAGGCCAGGGCTACAGCTCTGTCTCTACACAGCTCTCTGGGCTCTGCTCTTTGCCCCTGAAACAACTGCATCCTCACGCCACTCACGAAATGGCAGCAGCAGTTCCAGGCATCACATTCCCATATAACCATGTCCAGTTGCAGAAAGGGTCCTCCTTGAGACCAGCAGGTGGTGTGGTAGTTAAGGCATTGGATGGTCCCACATGGCTGACCATGGTTCGAGTCCTGGACCTGGTGTCTTGCTTTCTCACTTTCGCCCCCCCCCCTGTGTGTGTGTGTGTCTCGCTGGTCAAATTAAAAATAAATGAGTGAATAAAGTTAATTTTTTTTTTTAAAAAAAGACTCTCTCTTATGTGAAAGAAAATGTTTCCCATAAATAAAGTTTTTTTTTTTTAAAAAAAAGTCTCTCTCTTATGTGAAAGAAAATGTTTCCCATAGTGCCCTCAGAGTCCTCCTCTCACATTTCATTGGCCAAAACTGGTTCATTCACCTCCCCATAAGCCAGTCACTGACCAGGGGGATGGACTTATCACATTTAACTGATTTATATGAATCGAGATTAGCCTGTGACCCAAAGATGCTCTTTTTTTTTTTAAAAAAAAGTCTCTCTCTTATGTGAAAGAAAATGTTTCCCATAGTGCCCTCAGAGTCCTCCTCTCACATTTCATTGGCCAAAACTGGTTCATTCACCTCCCCATAAGCCAGTCACTGACCAGGGGGATGGACTTATCACATTTAACTGATTTATATGAATCGAGATTAGCCTGTGACCCAAAGATGCTCAGAGCATAAGTGAGGGAGCCCAGTGGGGTGGGCAGGCAGCAGAGCTCGCTCCCTGAGGGTAAGCGTACTTTTTAAATTAGATTGTTGAGGGTCAGCTCCTGAGACAGCGGTTTTGTGCTGTAGGGGGGAACCCACATGGCCGGCCGTGGTTTGAATCCCAGCTGGCTTGAAAAGCACTCCAAGTACATATGCATGTGTGCCCCAAACCCCGACGGAATGAGGAAATGGGGAGAAAGGGTTTGCAGCGTGACCACACCTTACTGGGCAGCTCTGTCACACACATGCCCTTTGGCCATTAAAAGAAGTGGATTGTTGAGGTATTGATTTCCATACAATCAACTGCATTCATTTAAAGAATAAAATTCTATTTTTAATTAATTAATTTTTAATTTACATTTAATCACTATGTGTCTTTATAGTATACAACATTGTTTTTTGCAGCTCGAATACGATGCATATCAGTCCTTACCATACACATTATCATCAGCAAGTAACTTTACATAAGGGTAAAATTCTACGAATTTCGTTCTCGGGCCATGAATTTATCATGGCAACCAAAATATAGTATTTCTACACCAGTAAAAGTTTCCTCTTAACTGGCACAAACCAGTCCACCTCCAGCAACCACAGATCTACCTGGACTAATTTGTATTTTCGAGAGTTTTCTATGCATGTACCCATCTATTAAGTATTAAGTATTCTTTTGAGTCTAAGTGCTTGCATTTAAATTAGAGCCAGTGTGTGTCCCTCCACTGCTCACAACCCTAAGGGTTGGGGTAACCCAGAAGCACCCCTAGAACATTCTTCTTCCTCTCAGAAGAACTGCCAAGCCATTCTCAAAGAAAGAAGCAAATGGAGTAAAATGTGGTTTCCAGGCCTCCCCATGGGTTGTTTTCCATCCTTCCTGGGAGGGGGGGAGCTGCCGTGCTCCCTGGCAGGTCCCTCCATAATGCCAGCGTCCTCTGTCCCCACAGCTGGCACAGATCCTGCCGACTGAAGAGAACTTCCTCCTGTGCTTCAGGCAGCACGTGGGCTCCAGCGCCGAGTTTATGGAGGTGAGACCAAAGCACTGCCTTCTCTCTTGGCTTTGAGACCTACCTTGCTCCCAGGTTCAGAGCTAGGCTTACCCTGCAATGGGCCAAAGAGGTGCTAAGCCCCTTAGAGCTCTGCTACTCAGAGCGTAGCCTATGGGTCCAGCCTCTGTGGTGCCGCAGCAACGCAATGCCCTGCAAGGCTGGTAGCCACATGGTGGCCATGGGCACAGATCCCTGGGTTGACGTGAAAATATGCCAGGTGCGCACATGGGCACCTGGATCCTGAGGAGATGGAGGGTCGGGGAAAGGGAATCACACGAGATGACACGTTGTCAAGGGTATGTCTTTCCCTTTTCTCTCTCTCTTGCACGCCCATGCTCTATATCATTAAAGAACAAACAGACAGTCCATGGACCAGCGGCTCAGTATCAGTAAGTGTCAGTAGAAAGGTAGACTCCCCAGCCCATGGAATCAGAATCTACATTTCCCCAGGATTCCCAGATGATGCCCATGCACATAAAGTATGAGGAATAAGATGAGAAGTGCGGGGACCCGCAGTTAGTATAATGGCTATGTCGCTGAACTCCCATGTAGTCGACCGCGGTTCAAGTCCCGGACCTGGTGGCTTAAACTCACGCTGGGCACGTGTGTGTGCATGCCCAAGATCTCCAGAGGAGAATGGAGGAGAAGGGATTGCCGAGTGGCCATCCTCCTTGGGGGGTGATTTCTCACTTTTTGTCTCTCTGTCTCTGTCTTACTGGCGAGCATACACACCCTATAGCCAAAACCTCTCCAAAAAAAAAAACAAACAAACAAAACAAAGAGGTGCACTTGGGTCAAGTACTTATGGGAAATGGGGTGTACGGCCCCTCTGGGGATTTGTCAGGCTACAGGCTCTGAGAACTCCTGCAGTAAAGAAACCTGTTCCACTCTATTTCACTCCAGGATCTCCCACCACCCAATAACTTAAGTGTCCCCCAAAGTCAGAGTTCCAAGGAGCATGCTTGGGAAAGATGGAGTTGTGCACCCTCCCAAGGCTGGAAAGCCAAGTGAGAACTCCACTTTCCAATTATCGTCCAGGCTTGGTCTTTGTGACCTGACTTCATTGTCCCCCTTTTAACTGGGTACCACTTTCTTTGTAATAGAAATTCTTTAAGATCCCCATGCGAAATGTGACATTCGAACTCAAGTGTCTTTTGAGTCTATTCGACTGATAGATTGGATATATGAAATTGCTGATATTAAACTGTTGTTTTACTTACAAAAATTTGGAAATTCTCTGCAGTTTGATCAAGCGTATTACTAATCCTCAGGCCCAGCAAGGACCTATTACTTCTCGCTGTTGTTCTGGGACTTGGCACCCTAGTCGTTCAGTGTATTTGTTCCCGAGACTCCACGCATACCCACACACTGCCTGCGCCGAGACCCAGGGCTGGACTTCCACCTGCCTCTCATTGCCATTCATCGGGGTAAATCCATTTCCAGCCACCGGTAATCCCACTCCGTGACTCACTGCCTAAAACCACTGGAACACTCGCCCAGAAACCCACACAGCAGCGAGTTCCCCTCGTGGCCGGAACGTCAGTTGGAAAGAAACAATTCTCAGGGCAGAAGAGTCATTTTTCATGTGGCAGCTTTCCCAAGCATCAGATATGGATTTAATTTTATGGTGCTTTAAAGGATTTTCTCCAGTTTTTTGGGGTTTTTTTGGAGATAGGAAGATTCCATAAGCTGGTCAGTGACATTCTGGATTCTGTTCTTAGTCTTCCTCTTGCCTGTCTTGGAAAAAAAGTCCTGCATATGCTTAATGATTTGTCAGCAGCCTCTTTGTGAGCATTGATTTTTTCTGTCTATAGAAGAGGGAGTTTTGGGACCAGCCGATGGCATAATAGTTACATTGTTGGACTCCCATGCAGTTGACCGTGGTTCAAGTCCTGGACCCAGTGGCTTAAAACTCATGCTAAGTGCATGCATGAGCATGTGAGCCTGAAATCTCAAGAGGAGAATGGAGAAGAAGGGATTATGGTGTGGTCATCCCTCTTGGGGAATAATTTCTCACTTTCTGTCTCTCTGTCTCTCCAATAGGTGGAGAGACGTGCCCTATAGCAAAAATATTAAAAAAAAAAAAAAAAGAAAGAAAAGGGAGTATTATGATTATGCCTGGCCTCTTCCCACCTCTGATCTGGAAACAGGGGTAATGGCAGCTTGCAAGGGACAGAGGCACTTTAAAAAGGGGCACAAGCACAGGCCTCTCAAAATCCTTGGTGGTCTCTCTGCGTGGTTGACATGGTTGCATACCCTTATATACCTTTATCCTTCCCAGTCCCAGCATGACTGCCAAGGGAAACACCACCCGCCAGCTTTCCCAGGATCCCACCCCCCTGCAGAACCATCCTCTCCTGAGGGTGTTCACTTGTTTGGTTTTTATAGGCCAGAAACATGAAAAGGTCCGAGGTAGCCCTGACCGGCCTTCTCAGCTCCCATCCCACTGCTCCGCGTAACGTTCTAACATCTAATTTTAGTGACACCTTGAGATTTCTTTGAGATTTCATAAAGCCAGGTCCCTTGAACTCTTTTCCTTGAATGAGAGGAGACTAGGGATCCACTGATGGGTGGACACAAAGTGCAGGAGGGGAGAGAAGCCAGCGTTGGCTCAGGGGGTGGGGGTGGGGCCCAGGGCGGGAGAACCTGCAGGCGCAGTCACAGAAAACCACCCGAGGGTTGGTGTGCTCTGTGCACGGACGGGGTCCCTTCAGGTTACCCTCTTTTAGGCAACCTGGGGAGGAGGGGAATAACCGCAATTTTTCCCAGTCCAGACTCGGCTTAGATGAATTAAATTTGAATGCACTAAATGCATGCAGGTAGCTGGTAAAGTCTTATTTAGAAGCCTGTGCACGTCTCTTACTACCTATGCAAGGGTGGGTTTGCAGTTATAAGAAGGGATCTATTCCCTGCATCAAGTAACTGGGCCTCAGAACCGGTGAGACCCAGAGAGAGATCTGATTGGCCGGGGGTAGGTCACATGCCTTCCTCATGCAGTGGAGTCAGCCTCCCTTGAACGATATGGATTGAAAATGGGAAAGGGTGGTAGTACTTCCTGCTAAAAATGGGGATGCTGTTATTCATAAAGATGAGTGGCTTTGGGGCAGTCTAAAAAAAAAAAACGAATTATATTACCAGTTCTGCTTCACCATCAGACAGAGGGTAGAAGAGAGTGCAGAGGAGAGTAAGCAAAGTTCACTCCTGCCTCTTCGAGAGGGTTCTTCCCCTTGCCTCCAAGCCCCACCTAGAGTATATGAGGTACTTTCCAGACAGCAGAAGCATATCCCATTAAACCCACAGCAAAAATCAGACCATCGTCCCAGCCCTGGTCTGCACCTTAGAAAGCTTCAACCCTGGTTACAGGACAGTCAAGAAAAGGACCTGGGCCGGCATCATATCCAAGTGCTTTTTTCTCTGTGAGCTTGACCAAAACACTTTCCCTCATTTCCTCCTCTGTGACACTAAAGGCTAGACCAGCCCCATGTCCCCATCCCACTGTCATGCTCCTGAGTACCAGGCCCTGCCTGGACCAGTCCAAGGAAATGGAAGGGAAGTGCGTAGAGACTGACAGGCTGGCTTTTCCATCGCAGGCATGGCGGAAGTATGACACAGACCGAAGTGGCTACATCGAAGCCAATGAGCTCAAGGTAGGAGGGGCCCTGGGGTCGGTGTGGAGGGCCAGGAGAACGAGAGTAGGGCCAGAGTTGGGGTGTGTTTAAGGAACCTGAGGAGAGCGGCCACACCAGATGAGGAGCACGCGTTTGTGGTCTGCCTGGGCACACTGAGGCCTGGCCTGGCTGTCGCGTGTGCTCAGAGAAGCCGTGCGAGTCAGCAGCCTGCAGCCCCAGGGCCAGCGTCCCAGCAACCACAGTCCTCTGCATTCCGTGCCCAGGACAGGCTTGCTAGAGGCCATTCCACTCAAAGTTCCTCTGGCAACCGGAGGTTCCCCATGCATTGCTTAGCCTGTTTCTCCATCAATTCAGGGGGGCAAGGCTGCACCAGGAGCCACTTACGGCCTCCGGAGTCCTCCGGAGTCACTGCAGGTGTGAAGGGATTGGGAAATTAAGAGGCATGTGAGCTGTAACTGGTAGACCTAAACGAGCAACGATAACTAAACAAACAAGTGAGTGAGTGAATGAGGGACGGAATGAAGGCTTTTTCTATGTTCCAGGGCTTCCTCTCAGACCTGCTGAAGAAGGCGAACCGACCATATGATGAACCCAAGCTCCATGAATACACCCAAACCATAGTGAGTGGGCAGTGTCCTTCCTCCCCGGGGGTGCAGGCCTTGGGCCCCAAGCCACTGAGATTCTGAGGGGCAGAGTCTTGTGTTTGCTGATCCTTCAAACCCAGGTGAAGTAATCCCAGTGACAGCTGGCAAAAAGGGACGCCCTTTGAGGTCCCCACTAACCTGACTATCGGGCCAGTGTGCAACTGGGGAGCATCTGCTTCTATGGCAACCTCTGTAGCTCCAGGAGAGGATAAATGTGGAGGGGATGGGCCTTTGGAACCAGTCTCTGAAAAGGGGAAACACAAGTAACCGAGTCCCTGCTGTCTCCTCCGGTGACTGGTTTAGACCACGCTGGGCCCTGGCCTCCAGGCAGAGGCAGAAGAGGCATGATGAGCACACCCACCTTTCCTCTCCAGGCAGGTCAAGGTCCCACGTTAAAGGTCAAAGCAAATAACATAGGCACCTCTTTCTGTTCCCAACAGCTACGGATGTTTGACCTGAATGGGGACGGCAAACTGGGCCTCTCAGAGATGTCCCGGTAAGCACCGGCCCTCCCCTCCAATGTCACCTGGGACATGCCTTTCATTCCTGTGCTACTGTCTCCTTCTCTGGGATCTGTCGGTGAGAGCAAGGACAGGTCTGCATGCCAAGAAGCAAGAAAAGCTAGATGCCATCGCCTCCCTCTGTCTCCCTCTTTTTTGAATTCTCCGCTAACTCCTGATTATTAAGTGCTCGAAGCTTGTTCCCGTAACTGCAGAAGCTGCCTCTGTCTCCCGCCAGGTCCGGGTTGTTCTTGCTTGTGCTCTGTCTCCTAATCTCTGCCCAACCTTTTCTTTCCAGACTCTTACCTGTACAGGAAAACTTCCTGCTTAAATTTCAGGTAAAAAACAAACAAAACTTCTTATCTTTGCTTCCTCCTTCCCCCCAAAGCTTCATTCATGTACACACACATACACACACACACACACACACACACACACACACACACACACATTTTTGCTCTTACCTCTTTAATACTCTCTGTCCTTTCAGGGCATGAAGCTGACCTCAGAGGAGTTCAATGCGATCTTCACATTTTACGACAAGGTAAAAGACTGTGGTTGGGAACACGGAAGGCCAACGGGAGGAGATGCTCGGGGCTGCCCGGGCACCAGCTCACGACTTTGCATGAGAGCAGTTGCTTCCTAGGAAGCTGGGAGTGAGATGCCCTCCTTACCCACCCGCAACCCTTCTCTGCTATCCCATGCCACATGGCTCTAACAGTCTTCTTTATAACCAAATGGCTAGAGGTAAATTATAAATATCCCCTGCAATCAGAAAGCTAACTGTTTCTTGATCATGTTTATATTTTCTTTTCTTTGAGAGGTTTTTGCCTTAGGCCACGTGTGCTCACCAGG